CACACACACACACACACACACACACACACACACACACACACACACACACACACACACACACTCCTGTTTTTAATGATGTGGAACAGGGGGACATATGTTCAGGAGTCCATGACTTTGTTTTGATATGATCAGAATGAGGGACACTGATCCAAGTCAGGGAGCACCGCCTCACAAAACCCCTTCCTTCTCTCCTCAATGCACAGACATCAGCAGAGCAGTGGGCAGGCACCTGAGTGTGCATTAAATTATCTGCAAATGCAGCAATTATCCGGAAGTCTGAAATCTTTCACCATGCCTTGGTTCTTCATTATGCCTCGCTCTCTTTAGACAAAACGTCTGTCAAGTGCTTTTTCTTTTCAGGGATATATTTTAAAAAGCAAATAACACAAATTTAAATAGGCATTGTTACTGATCTTCTAAAAATATTTGTGAATACTACTACAGAAAAATTAAGTTTGTGCAGTTCTTTTTATGGTTATGATGAGTGGGGATGAAAGAACCTGAGCAGGGGCCTCTAAGGGGGGCCCTTTGCGCTCCCCAAAAACAACACTGAGCTTTAGTCAAACATCCTCATCCCTCGAATAAAATAACGTTTTTTTGTTTTGTTTCAAGTGAAACATTATAATTCTCYTTGCTTCAGAGCTCTTGGATTTTTGTGTTGCCTGCCATAGAGCATGTCTTTGTTGATTTTTTTGCAATGCAGGTTCCAATGAGTTTGTTTACACAGAGCATTACTTAGATGCATAAAGATACGACTGTTGCCAAAACAGTGTTGCCCTGTCTTGCACTGTTAAGGATTGTCCTCACAAGTTTGTTTTTTTTTCATCCCTTCTTCCAYGTACCAAAATAGTGTTTTAGGAGCTCTTAAAWGTTRATTTCTGAAAACGGGTTTCAGAGTGAAAAATGTTCAAACAGCACCACATCAGGCAGCATGACRGCTCWGTGGTTAGAACTGATGGCCTGTGGCATGAAGGTTCTGACTTCCATCTCTGGTTTGGACCTTTCTGTGMGGAGTTTGCATCTTCCCCTCGTGCGTGTGTGGGTTTTCTTCTCCCACAGACCAAAAACCTGCACAATAGGTTGCCCTTAGGCTCAGGCCTCCTTTGCAAAACAGATCTGTGATCTCAATGGGATTCTGCTGGTTGAATAAAGGTCAATGTGTATTTTTGTAGATGACCAAAATGATGCTGCTCCACTTCTAAGCTAGTTTTTTGACACAAATAGTCTTCCTTCTATTGTGTTTACAATTTGTATTCTAAGTGAAACCTTTGAGTCCATTGTCTGTGCTTTATTTCCTGTTTTTGGAGTAGGCAGCGTTACAGCGCCACATGCAGTCCTGGAATAGTTACTACAAGGTTGTGCGTACTTTTTGTATTTAACAAAGATATTTCTACAAACTGTGCTGTGTTAATGAGAATACTTTTAGAAGAGACAAGTAATTATTTTCATGTGGACACGGCCTTGTTGAGCCCATCTCTTGATGACGCTACAACATGAGCACAACTCTGGATCCTGTCAATAAGTTAGCAAAGTTCTCCAAAGCAGCTGCAGGACCTTTTTTGGGCACGATCGAATGACTCGCCAGTTCTGAAATCGAAATTCCACACAAGCAGCCTCCACGGCGTGTCGCTTTGGCCCCRTGAACAAACTGATAAATATTTATAGAAGCTGGAGCAAAACATTAACACGTAGGGCAGCTCAAAGATTCATCATATGTGCTCCTGAGGGCAGGCTGCAGGCTGCTGTTCAATCAACACCTCTCTGTTACACTCGTCCACACACAAACACACAATCGCTTGCGCACAAAAGCCAATACAGTGATAAATTCCAAACAACCTGATATATTGCAGACACCAGCCGACGATGTGGCTCTGACTCATTCGGTAACACCCACCCAACTTACACACACACCTCGACGAGCACAACGCCACACAATCACAGATGCACACACGCATGCACCTGACGTAGTGTTTGATGGAGTTAGACGCCATGGCAACAGAGCTGTGACTCTTGGTGTCCTGTGAGTGGACTGAAGCTGTGGAGGAGGGAGGAAAATACCAGCCAGCGCCGCTTCTCAAGAGCCGCTATTATTCTTCCCAATCTGCTTTTTCTCTCTGTTCTCTCGCTGTCTTTTTCACCACCACTGTGGGTCTGTCATATTACTTTGGGTTCTCTTCTTCAAGTGTGTCGTAAAGGCTCCGATTTGGGGG